TGAGGGCCCTTGTTACTTTATTGACCGTGTGTCTAGATGATCTATCCATTTCTGTAAGTGGAGTGTTAAAGTCCCCTGCAATTACTACATTCTTATCAATAAGGTTGCTTATGTTTGTGAGTAATTGTTTTATATATTTGGGGGCTCCTGTATTCGGCGCATAGACATTTATAATTGTTAGCTCTTCCTGGTGGATAGACCCTGTGATTATTATATAATGCCCTTCTTCATCTCTTGTTACAGCCTTTAATTTAAAGTCTAGTTTGTCTGATATAAGTATGGCTACTCCAGCTTTCTTTTGACTTCCAGTGGCATGATAAATAGTTTTCCATCCCCTCACTCTCAATCTGAAGGTGTCCTCAGGTCTAAAATGAGTCTCTTGTAGACAGCAAATAGATGGGTCTTGTTTTTTTATCCATTCTGATACCCTATGTCTTTCGGTTGGAGCATTTAGGGCATGTACATTCATATTATTTTTCAAAGATGTGGGTTTAGAGACATTGTGTTATCTATAGTTTTCATGCTTGTAGTGATGTCTCTGGTATTTTGTGGTCCTTGCAACATTTCACTCACAGAGTCCCCGTTAGGATGTCTTGTAGGGCTGGTTTAGTGGTGATGAATTCCTTCAGTTTTTGTTTGTTTGGGAAAACCTTTATCTCTCCTTCCTTCTGACAGACAGACTTGCTGAATAAAGGGTTCTTTGCTGCATATTTTTTCTGTTCATCACATTGAAGATTTCCTGCCATTCCTTTCTGGCCTGCCAAGTTTCAGTAGATCAGTCTGCCACTAGTCTTATGGATCTCCTTTGTAGGTTAGAGCCTGTTTTTCCCTAGCTGCTTTCAGAATTTTCTCTTTATCCTTGTATTTTGCCAGTTTCACTATGATATGTCGTGCAGAAGATTGCTTCAAGTTATGTTTGAAGGGAGTTCTCTGTGCCTCTTGGATTTCCATGCCTGTTTCCTTCCCCAGATCAGGGATGTTCTCAGCTATGATTTGTTCAAGTATACCTTCAGCCCCTATCTGTCTCTCTTCTTCTGGATTTCCTATGATAGGGGTATTGTTCCATTTGATTGCATCACTAGTTCTCTAATTCTCCCCTCATACTCCTGGATTTTTTTATCTCTCTTTTTCTCAGCTTCCTCTTTTTCCATAATTTTATCTTCTAATTCACCTATCCTCTTCTCTGCCTCTTCAATCCGTGCTATGGCCCCCTCCATTTTATTTTGAACCTCATTTCTAGCATTTTACAGCTCCTTATAACTATTTCTTAGCCCCCTTGATATCTGTAGCAATAGATTCTCTACTTTCCTCTATGCTTTTTTCAAGCCCAGCGATTAATTTTATGACTATTACTCTAAATTCTTGTTCAGTTATATTGCTTAAATCGTTTTTGATCAATTCATTAGCTGTCACTACTTCCTGGAGTTTCTTTTGAGGAGAGTTCTTCCATTTCGTCATTTCCAGTAGTCCCTGCAGTGGCTCCAAACTGCAGGGCACTTCCCCTGTGCTGTCCAGAGTAACTTGTGTTGGTGGATGGGGCCACAGACAGACCCCAGCCCACTGCTGGGGTCACAGTCAGATTGGTGTGTACCTTATCTGCCCTTCTCCCAGGAGCAGGACTCACTGTGGAGTAGTGTGGCCCCTGTCTGGGCTACTTGCACACTGCCAGGCTTGTGGTGCTGCTTCTATGGGATCTGGTGTATTAGCTGGGGTGGATCCGTAAGGTGTACAGGGGTGGAAGGCGTAGGCTTAGCTCGCTTTGCCATTTGTGGTCCCATGCAGGAGGGGATCTGCAGCCCCAGGAGTGAGGCCGACCCGGCAGAGGGATGGATCCACAGAAGCACAGAGTTGGGTGTATGGGGATTCATTTTCCTCTATGTGGATCCCCTGGTGGTTTCTTTTCTCAGAGCCTCTTTCCTGTGGGCAGCTCTCAACCACCATTTATGTCCTTCCTAACCTCTCTGGTGTGACTTATTCTCTATATTTATTTGTGGAGTTTATTCTGCCAGTCTTTGGATTGATCTCTGGTTTCTTAATGGGATGTGAGTGATATCTAGTTGTAAACATGGGATGGAGTGAGCTTAGGGTCCTCCTACTTTGCCATCTTCACAAACCTAAATTCCACTTATTTTTTTTTAAGTCACTGGGATCTCTAGTGATATTACTTCTTTTATGTCTCATATAATTTGTTATTTTATTTTCTCTTTTTTTTTTCTCAATCTCTCTAACATGGGCTTTATCAAATTAATTGATTTTTAAGGCTATATTTTAATTTTATTGACTCTTTATCATCACTTGTCCAATTTCTTTTCTTAACTTTATGCATACTTTGGGGTAAACTAGATTTTTTTGTTTATTTTAATTTATTTTGAGAAAGACTGAGAGAGAGAGAGAATGTGAGCAGAGGAGGGGTGCAGAGAGAGAGGGACAGAGAGAATTCACAGGCTCTGTGATCATAGCAATGTGAGGCTGAATCTCACGACCATGAGATCATGACCTGAACTGAAATCAAGAGTCGGTTGCTAAACTGACTGAGCCATCCAGGTGCCCCTCCCCTAGATTTTTAATGTGAAAACTCAAATATTTTATTTTAAACTTTTTTTCTTTTTGTGTAAGCCCTTTAAAGCTGTACATTTCAGTCTAACCACAGCTTATATTGCATATCATACATGTTGATATTTTGTGTTTCTTTTTCATTTAGTTAAAATATTTTCATTTTCTTTGTAATTCCTTTTGTCTAGCAGATTGTTTTAGAAGTATTTCAGTTGATTTTCAAATATTCGTGGATCATCTAGATGCCTTTTTATTATTTATTTCTGATTTAATATTTATTGTTTTTGGATGTACATATTTTGAAATTTATTGAGACTTATTTAATGATAGTAATTATTTTTATCTTTTGTTTTCCATTTTTGCTTGATTATCTCTATGCTGTACAAACTTCACAGTAAGAGAATGTGTTGAAGTGTTGTATTTATTTTTAGTTACTAATTGAAGTGCCTCTAATAATTTCCTCAATGTTATATTAGAAGACAGATTTTATTAACTTTGTTTCTAATGAGTGTTGCTTCTTCTAAAAAATGCAAATATTGAACACATGTTTTGCTTATGGATTAAGCAAAAGATGATCTATTCTAGTACCATCCACCTCAATGTAATGAGAACATTGCATCCTGCTGTCAATGCTTTGCAATATTGTGGTAAGAAAATGAATGTTTGAAATGTCATTAAAACAGCAATATCCTGATTGATATATGTATTATTGGGATGGAATCTGTTTTTAGATTTAAATGTAAGTTCAGAAACCCCGAAGTAATAACAGCTTAAATCAAGGATAAGTTATTTTTATTTTGGGAAATTAGAATTCTATTAATTGCATGACATTTCACAGTATAATTTTACATTGATTTCTACACAGTGACTTTCATATCCAGGATCATCTCATAGTTCATAATGGAAGCTTTGACTACAATAGTTAACCAAAATTATAGTCACCAATAGAATAAAAACCTGGCTGTCAACATTACTTTCTATAACTTAAATTTATGGTTTTGTTTTAGGCCAATTATCTGACCTTTATATAGATGTTATACTAACTTTACAAAAGGCTAAGAAATGTAGACACTACACAAGGAAGCCTTGTATTTGACTGAAAACCAGAAGCTCAATTATCAAGAAAAAATGAGAGAATGGAGAATAAGAACATCCAGCAAGTGTTTGCTAAGACTCAAGCTTCAAATTAATTGTCTAGTTGGATATAATTATGACTGATATTTTCTTTCTAATGTCAACACTAATTTATACCCAGAAGTGTATCCCTTATAAACGAGTTCACACATAGTAAACACATCTTACATTGTCTAGTTTTTAGTAATGTTCTATCCTTTCTCCTTTTAGTTTTTGGTATTTAGATAGAAATCGTCAGAATTTTTGGCAATGTAATAATAAATCAATTATTTGTGGTTATTCTAATGGTAGAGTATGTTCAATAGGGTGTGACCTCCAAAAAATTTAAAAACCTTATTTTTTGCATGATCCTCATGTAAATAATATTTCCCTGTGATAGTCCAAAGGACTAGGGTTTGAGTCTATTGTTGTAAAATCCAATAAGTTCATATTAGCTATATCTGTCATCAAATTATAAATCTTTATGAATATAACTTTTTCATGTATTAATACTATTCAGAATAATAAAAGTCATAGTGCAACATCAACAAAAGAATGTACTATTTACAACAGATAGTTTATTCCATGGACTCATTTATTTAAATATATATATATATATATATATATATATATATATATGTGCTATATATGTGCTAGAGAACAAAATAGTTGGAATGCCTTTTCTCTGGAGCTAAAAAACTAGTAGGGGAAGACAATGAGTAAATAATTAAATAAATAATAGTTTGGTTGTTGATAAATATTAAAGAATAATAAGTGTCACTAAAAGAATAAAGATGTAAGGGGGTGGTATTTTAGATGTGGGTTTAGAAATGTTATCTCTGAGTAAAAAGTTGGTATTGGACTCTTGAGTTTAGGTGACATATTAGGGCTATAGGCACCAATATCTGAGCTGTCAGGTATAGGTGTTATTCAAAATACATACTTCAGGATTACCTATGAATAAATATAGACAAAGAAGTGAAAAGCTCAATCTCTTTTGTTAATACAGGATATTATAATATTTAGGGACCATGAAAGGAAAAGGAAGCAACAAATGAAACAGAGTATTTTGTGAGGTAGGAAATGTAAGAGAAAACAATGTCATGAGTGAGTGTAATATAAGAACCAATAAAATTCCATCATTTATTGCTAACTAAATATTTAATATAAATTCTTGCACAATTGACTTCCCTTGTACAGAAAATAAAATTTTGACACTAACAAAATTGAGCATTTTGACTGTTGTGGAATACTATTAAATAGCTTTATTCCAAGTCTAGGCAATTTATGAAGTAATACTTAACATAAAAATTTGAAGTTTGACGTATGTTTAGTCATTCCAGTGGTGTGAAGATCTTTAGTAACTGCAGCATGGAGGATTTTGCAAATTTTATTTCAAATCCAAAGTCCCAATGTCTTCAAAATCAGCCACACTTAGATCCATCATACAAATCTGTGGTTTGTGGTAATGGACAAGTGGAACAAGGAGAACAGTGTGACTGTGGGAGTGCAGAGGTTAGTACTACTTTGGAAGATATGCGTGAAAAATTATAAATAAATTTTTATACTGCCATTTTCCCTAGGGAATCAAAATCACTTTTCTGAAAAAAAGTTAAAAAGGCATATAGAAATTTTAATAAACTGATAAGTGCACTTATATATCAGTATATGGATTCAGTGGTTCATAGATTATCCTTACAGATGATTTTCAAGATCATTAATTCTGTAACTATGTTGACCTAGGTTTTCACTTTCCCTCTTGAGTGTGTTCTTCCCTAGTATAGGAATTCCTCAGAGCTTTGTGGGTTTTGTTCCAGACAACCAGAACAAAGTGAATATCACAATAAAGTAAATAAAATGATTCTTTCTGTTTCCCAGTACATACAATTATAAGCTTATATAATCCTATAGTCTACTAAGTGTGAAATAGAATTATGTCTGAAAAAAACAAGGTACGTGTCTTAAAAATACCTTATCACTGAAGAATGCTTTCAGCAAGTCATAATCTCGCCGTAATGCTGATGGCTGCTGACTGATGAAGGTGGTGGTTGTTGAAGGTTGGAGTGTCTGTGGCAGTTTCTAAAATAAGATGGCAATGAACCTGCCTGCATTCATTGGCTCTTTTATGAATAGTTTCTCTGTAAGCATGTGGTGGTGTTTGAAAGCATTTTACCCTCAGTAGAACTTCTTTCATATTGGGGTCAATCATCTCAAACTTTGCTGCTGTTTAATCAACTAAAAGTATATAATCTAAATCTTTGGTTGTCATTTTAATAATCTTCACAGCATCTTCAGTGGGAATAAATTCCATCTCAAGAAACCACTTTCTTTGCTTAGCCATTAGAAGGAACTCCTCATCTGTCGAAGTTTTATCGTGAGATTTCAGTGATTCAGTCACATCTTCAGGCTTCATTGCCAATTATAGTTTTCTTTCTATTTCCATCACATGTGTAATTACTTCCTACACTGAAGCCTTGACCCTCTCAAAGCTATTCATGAAAACTGGAATCAACTTGTTCCAAACTCCTGTTAATGTTGGTATTTTGACCTTTTCCCATAAATCATGAATGCTTTTTATGGCATCTAGTATAGTGAGTCCTTTCCAGAAAGTTTTCAACTTACTTTGGTCAGGTCTGTTAGAAAAATCACTATCTATCGCAATTATAGACTTTAATCAATGGGCTAGAAAATGGATGTTGTGTTAGTAATCATAAAACAACATTAGTCTCCTTGTACCTCCCCATCAGAACTCTTGGGTCACCAGGAAAATTGTCAATGAGCAGTAATATTTTGAAAGGATTCTTTTTTCTGAGCTGTGTTTCTCAACAGTGGTCTTAAAATATTAACTAAGCCATGTTGTAAACAGATGTGCTGTCATCCAGACTTTTTTGTTCCATTTATCGGTCACAGGCAGAGTAGATTTAGCATAATCTTTAAGAGCCCTAGAATTTTTGAAATGGTAAATGAGTATTGCCTTCAACTAAATGTCATAGCTGCATTAGCCCCCAACAAGAGTCACCCTGTCCTTTGAAGCTTTGAAGCCAGATATTACCTTCTCCTCCCTATCTATGAAAATGACATCTTTCAATGGAAGGCTATTTTGTCTACATTGAAAATGTGTTGTTTAGTGTAGCCACCGTCATTAATTATCTTACCTACATCTAAATAACTTGCTACAGCTTCTACATCACCACTTGCTACTTAACTTTGCACTTTTATGTGATGGATACAGATTCTTTCCTTAAACCTCATGAACCAACCTCTGCTAGCTTCAGACTTTTCTGCAGCCTCCTTATCTCTCTCAGCCTTCATAAAATTGAAGAGAATTAGGGCCTTCTTGTGGGTGAGACATTGGCTTAAGGGAATGTTATGGTTGGTTTGATCTTCTATCCAGACAACTAAAACTTTCTCTATATTAGCAATAATGCCATTTTGCTTTCTTATCATCCATGCATTCATTGATTTTTAATTTCCTTCAAGAACTCTTCTTTTGCATTCACTACTTGACTAACTTTTTGGTGTAAGAGGCCTAGCTTTGGCCTGTCTCAGCTTTCAACATGCCTTCCTCCCTAAGCTTAATCCTTTCTAGCTTTTGATTTAAAGTGAGAAACATTTGACTATTCCTTTCACCTGAATTAGGCCAACTAATAATCCTGTAATTTCAATGTTGTTGTGTCTCAGGGAATAGGGATGCTTGAAAAGAAGGAGCGAGGGGAGCAGTTCATCAGTGGAACAGTCAAAACATAATTAAGTTTATTGTCTCATATGGACAATGGTTCATGACACTCTCCAAAATCACAATAGTAACATCAAATGCCACTGAAAACAGATCTCCATAACAAATATAATAATGAAAGAATTACCAAAATGTGACACAGAGACTGTTGGAAAAATGATGCTGGTAGATTTGCTCAATTTAAGGTTGCCACTTTCAATTTGTAAAAACAAATAAACAAACAAAAGTGATGTTGGCAAAGTACAATGAAATGAAGCACGATAAAATAAGGTAATGCCCACATTTCTTCCAAGCTTAATATCTGCTGGCATTCAGGAAAATAGGTAGAAAGTTTTCACAGTTCAACAGAAAATGAGGCATGCTTGTGGCTTTGAATATTTTAATGCAGGTCAATATTTAAGTAAAAAAAAGTTTGGCTCATTCACAATCAACAAATGCATGTTCTCCAACCCACAAAAATCTTAGATAAAGCTGCTTGATTGGAGGGAGGTGGGAAGACTAGAGATAAAAGGAATGCACTAAAAGAGAGAGATTGTGAGACTCATAATGGGTGTATGGATGTGAGGAAATCAATACATAAAAGGAGTTCAGTGTTCCCTACAGCAATAGCTGAGGTCATGAATGTGTACTGTCCCTAATAAGAAAGTGAACTTTTAGATACCTAGTTGGATGACGTGCTTTTAAGAAATTATTTTCCAGTACCCACTTGTGTTTTTCTTGTTTGGGTCTAAATGGAAACACTTTGAAAATTTTTAGTAAAAATTGACAATTGTGTATCTTAGTTCTATTAATTATAATATAAGTGAGCCAGTTCCTGTGATATAACTTTATTCTCTGGAATCCCGTATGGGTAGCAATAACAATAACATTGATTAGGCAGAATAGTTCTGGAAAATAGTTCAAATTTAGTTTGCCCTAATAAGTATTTGACTATAACTCATATTAAGACTACTGAAATCCATGACTTATTTTTGTGTAACTTATTGAAATTTTTGCCCAATTAACCCTATTCCAAATCCCTGACAATTTAAAAAGTGTGTGTGTGTGTGTGTGTGTGTGTGTGTGTGTGTGTGTAAGCATTGTCTCTCCAATCTTCTCTATTCTTATCTGTTGCTTTAAGTGTAATAATAGAATTTTTATAAACAAAATCACATGGATGAATCATAACATTAATCAAGGCATAATAAGATATGGATGAATCATAATTTCAGTCATATTTAGAAATATTATTTTCTAACTCTTTGCCTTTAGAGAATAAAAGTAAGTTAAACTTTGAACATCCCATAAAAGTTATAGGCTTATTAAAACACAATAGATTCATAAAGGCTGATTAGGAACTAGTCACTATAATGAAACTGATAAATCATAGTTTCCATTTATTTTATGTCTTGTATTTAACTATCTGTTTGTCTACAAGAGCCAGAGAGCTTGATGTTTTGGCTTTGGTGGACTCAGAGTTTCAGAAAAATCCTACTACAGTATAGTCAAAACTACTCTAGGGATAGAAAGAGTATACAGAATAGCAGAGTAGTAACCAATAAATATGTGTTAAGTAAATAAATAAGTGGCTCTATTTTTTTATGTTTGCCAACATGTAATTTAAGCACCTATCTGTATATTAGATAATACTCTGTCACCATTAAAATATCTATCTAGTGTGAATGAAAGTTGGAAGTTACTTCAGAGCATTTGATTTTCCTTTCAGGATTGTGCTGCTAACTTAAACTCATGTTGTGATCATACCACATGTACATTAACAGTTGGTTCAACTTGTGATATTGGTGAATGCTGTAAAAATTGTCAAGTAAGATCCTTTTAAATTTTTCTGAACAAAGTCATCTTTTTTATTCTATTCATATGTTCACATTCTGCTTCGTTCAATATTATTTACTTCATTTCATCAGTATTTGGCAAAAGGAGAAATATGTAGACCTTCCTCTGATGAATGTGATCTCCCTGAATATTGCAATGGATCATCTGCAACATGTCAAGATAACTTTTTTATTCAGAATGGGCATCCATGTGGAGAGAATCAATGGCTTTGTCTGAATGGAAGTTGTATAAGTGGGATAAAACAGTGTGTGGATTTATTTGGTGAAGGTATTTATTATAATTTTATTTCTCTTATATGTGTTCTTCTGGAAACCAAAAAGAAGTAGATGTTGATACATAATTGTGATTTAAAAAATAATGTAAGGGCCTCCTGGGTGGCTCAGTTGGTTAAGTGTCCGACTTTGGCTCAGGTCATGATCTCACAGTTTGTGAGTTTGAGCCCAGCATTGCGCTCTGTGCTGACAGCTCAGAGCCTGGAGCTGGCTTCAGATTCTGTGTCTCCCTCTTTCTGCTCCTCCCCCACTCACACTCCTTCTCTCTCAAAAATAAACATTAAAAATTTTTTTAAAAATAATGCGATTTTTAGTATATATATATATATATATATATACACACACACATACATATATATGTATATATATATATATTATATCTTAAAGGATTATAGAAAAAAGTTAAGGAATGCTGTAAAAAAATATCAGACAAGTTGTCTGGAATTAAAGGTATGAATTATTTCCACAAAATAATAAGGGAAAAGATTCAAAGTCTATGGGCTCTTCATTTGAGAAGGAAAAAAGCAGACTGAATATAAGTTACACTTCCCTCTCTCACTCCATATCCATAGTTTTCTTAGTAAATATAAAATACATACATATGGCTGTGGACATTAGAGGATCATAAATATAAATTGGCATGAATAGAATTTAAATCACACATGCAGATACACACAGCCAGATACACACATTCACACCTGGGAACTACAAGGATAGTTTATGAAAATCACAAAAGGGAGTAATGAGGATCCAGTAACTACCAAATAATTGAAAGATGATGTGCACTGAGTACACATGGTACTAAATATACATGGAATCATTTGCTGAAGAAGATGGAGACAGCAGCAATGGCAGCAGCATTTACGTCTATATCAGAAGTAAAAGAGTGATTGACAGAGGAAATATTTAGGATATTCATATAAATAGCCAAGTGGCTCAACCTTTTCTCAACTGTAATGGGTAATTGCCTACTTTAATTTCTGTGTAAAAAGGAGTTACAAAGTAATGATCAACTCCAAAAATGGACATACAATGACAAAGAATGACTATTGGTTTGAAGAAAGGCAAAACAAAGATATAAGGAAAGAAACATAGAATGGTAAAGTGCTCCTCCCAGGAACTGGGTGATTTGAACCACAAAGGAAATTTTGAAGAAAGATATCTCTATCTCTCCATCTCTCTGTCTCCTCTCGCTCTCTCTCTCTCTCTCTCTCTCTATCATCTCTCTCTATATATATATCTATCATCTATCAATTATCTATCATCTATCTATCTGTCTATCTATCATCTATCTATTTACTATCACTGATCTCTACCTATCTCTTATCTATATCTGTATCATGTCTTCCTTATCATCCATATCATCTATTTATTTATCTCTATCTACCTACCTATATATGCATACAGATAAATAAAGAAAGAGAAAGGGAGAAATAGGAAAGAAAATCTTGATCTGAAAGGAATACTGGTTAAAATGTAAAAATAAGCATATTGGTTAGATCATTGAAAAGGTAGAACTTCTGTTTCAGCTGGCAGGTAAAATTGCGAACTTCACCCAATGTTAAATACATAGATTAAAAAAAAAGTATGTGAAAGCACACATTTGAACGCATATAATTTGCTTTCCAAATCTATTTCTGTACGGGCTGATTGTGAATGATGTTAAAAACAAAAAGGGAAACTAAATGAGGAGACAGAAGAATTAAGCAAGAAGAAATCATCATCATAGAAATTAGCAAAATTCATTATTGGCTAAAAAACACATCTTTTAAAAACATTTTAAAATATAAAGAATAATATGAAATGAAGTTATTAGTATGTCAAAAATGTAAGTTGACCCCTAGAAGAATAAAAATGGAAAAAAAAATAGTTTCACCAGGAAAAAAAAAAAAAAAAAAAAAAAAAAAAAAAAAAAAAAAACAACTGAAACAAAACTCAATCATTCCAATAAAATGCAGCACAAAAGAGAAATTAAAAATTAACATTAGTCAAGTATTCATTTTATAATCCAAGCTACAAGAATAATAATAAAATAATTTGAAAATAAAAGCTTATAAAGGAGGGGTGCCTGGGTGGCTCAGTCGGTTAAGCATCCGACTTTGGCTCAGGTCATGATCTCATAGTCTGTGAGTTTGAGCCCTGCATCAGGCTCTGTGCTGACAGCTCAGAGCCTGGAGCCTGCTTCAAATTCTGTGTCTCCCTCTCTCTGACCCTCCCCCGTTTATGCTCTGTTTCTCTCTTTCTCAAGAATAAATAAACATTAAAAAAAATTATTAAAAAAAAGATTATAAGGGGAAAAACAAAAGCAAGAAAATTCTTGATTAACTCAAAAGGCAAAAACAAAGTTAAAAAAATAACATAAAATAAGAGAATAAATTCTAAGACAGCTTATTTACATTTAAATATTTTGTAATTATGTTAAATATAAAATCTGCATTAAATATTAAATTTAGGGAAAGGATGTAACAAGTACTGACATATGTAACTATGAGAAAATAACTAGAAAAACCAAGGTACACTGTATTGATGATATTTTAATTTTTTTAATGTTCATTTATTTTTGAGAGGGAGACAGAGCATGAGCGGGGGAGGGGCAGAGACAGAGGGAGGCACAGAATCTGAAGCAGGGTCCAGGCTCTGAGCCATCAGCACAGAGCCTGACACAGCTGGAACCCACAAATGGTGAAATCATGACCTGAGCCTAAGTCAGAAACTTAACTGACTGAGCTACCTAGACGCCCCAAGGTGCTTTCAGAATCTTAGGAAGAATGTCTTTAAAGAAAAAAAGAAAAAAACACATAAAGAGATCATAGCAAAACTACTAGGAAAAAAAAAATGAAAAGAGAACAAAACATCTAAAGTGGGAGAAAAAGACACAGTACCTTTTAAAAAGCAAGTGGAGGGGCGCCTGGGTGGCGCAGTCAGTTGAGCGTCCGACTTCAGCCAGGTCACGATCTCGCGGTCCGTGAGTTCGAGCCCTGCGTCAGGCTCTGGGCTGATGGCTCAGAGCCTGGAGCCTGTTTCCGATTCTGTGTCTCCCTCTCTCTCTGCCCCTCTGCCGTTCATGCTCTGTCTCTCTCTGTCCCAAAAATAAATAAACGTTAAAAAAAAAAAAATTTAAAAAGCAAGTGGAGTCAGATTCCTTGTCGACAATTACAGAAGCTAGATGGCAAAGTAAAGATACTTAAAACTGCTAAAAGAAAATAACTACTCACCCACCCAGAATTCTTAATGAGCAAAAAATACCCTGTACATCTTTTCAATAAATGTGCATGAACAACTGTACATTCATATGCAAAAGAATGAATTTGAACCCCTACCTCACACCAAACACAAGAATTAACTTAAAATGTATTACAGACGTAAATGTAAGAGCTAAAACTATAAATTTTTACAGGAAAACATAGGCATAAATCTTAGTGACCTGGAATTAGGCAGTGTTTTCTTAGATATGACACCTAAAGCACAAGTGATGAATGAAAAAGGCATAAATTGGACTTCAAAAATTTAAAAAGCTTTCATTCTTCAAGAAAGTGGAGAGGGGCGCCTGGGTGGCTCAGTCGGTTAAGTGTCCGACTCTTGGTTTTGGCACTCATCATGATCTCATGGTTCATGGGTTTGAGCTCTGTATTGGGCTCTGAGCTGACAGTGCGGAGCCTGCTTAGGATTTGCTCTCTCCCTTTCTCTGTGCCCCTCCCCTGCTAGTTTGTTCACTCTCAGAATAAATAAAGACAGTTCGATGAATGGGAGAATATATTTGCCAACCATATTTTTAATTATAGACAAAATATATACAAAATATAAGAAACTCATCTGATTCAACAATAAAAAGACAATGTAGTTTAACAAATAAGCAAAAAATTAGATTAGACATTTCTAAAAACAAGACATAGAAATGATTAATCATAGGGGCGCCTGGGTGGCTCCGTCAGTTGGGCGACCGACTTCGGCTCAGGTCATGATCTCACTGTTTGTGAGTTCAAGACCCGCGTTGGGCTCTGTGCTGACAGGTCAGAGCCTGGAGCCTGATTCAGATTCTGTGTCTCCCTCTCTTTACCCCTCCCCTGCTCACACCCTGTGTCTGTCTCTCAATAATGAATAAACATTAAACAACAAATTTTTTTTTAAAGAAATGATTACTCACATGAAAGATGCTCAACATGATTCGTCATTAAGGAAATTTAAATTAAGACCACAACAAGATACTTCTCCACACTTACTAAAATAGCCATAATTAAAAGACAATAGGAATTGTTGGGAGAATATGGCAAAATCTGAATTCTTATGCACATGCTTGTGGGAATATAAAATGGTACAGATACTTTAGAAAGCAGTTTGGAAGTTCCTTAAAATTTTGAACCTAGCAGTTTAACCCCTGATATATGCCTAAGGAAACTTAAAACATATGTCCCCACAAACCTTGTATACAAATGTTCACAATACCATTATTCATAATAACCAAAATGTAGAAACAACCCAAATGTCCATCAACTGATGAACTAGTAAATAAAATGCAGGATATTATTTAGTCAATAAAAATTAAAGAAGTGATGATATTTGGTATTTACCAATAAATTTTGAATAAATTTTGAAAACTTTACGCTAACCTAAGAAAGCCAGAAACAAAATACCACAGATTCTATGATTCCGTTAATAGTAAGCATACAGAATAGGCAAATATTTAAGACAGAAGATAAATTAATAGCTGCCTAAGGTTAGAGGGAGGCAGAGGATGAATGTATGAATGTAATTCTGTGTGTGTGTGTGTATTGTTTGACATATCCAATTTAATATTACAGCATATTGATGACCACCTTTACTGTCACAACTTAATACTCCTGAATGCACTGCAATATGATATCTGCTAAAAATCGTGTGTTTTGTTGCTTCGTTGGTTGTTTTTAAACTTAAAAGTGTGAATGTTTCTCAATTTCCTCCTCTGTTCTCTTGGTCATTTTTCTCTATTTGTGCCAGTCTTATGCTATCTTAATTTCT